AATCTCACACACACAGAGGAGGGCATCTGACGCAATCTGACACACACACAGAGGGAGGGCATCTGACGCAATCACACACACACACGGGGAGGGCATCTGACACAATCTGACACACACACAGAGGGAGGGCATCTGACACAATCTGACACACACACAGAGGGAGGGCATCTGACACAATCTCACACACACACACAGGGAGGGCATCTGACGCAATCTCACACACACACAGGGAGGGCATCTGACGCAATCTGACACACACACAGAGGGAGGGCATCTGACGCAATCTGACACACACACAGAGGGAGGGCATCTGACACAATCTCACACACACAGAGGGAGGGCATCTGACGCAAATCACACACACACAGGGAGGCATCTGACGCAATCACACACACACAGGGAGGGCATCTGACACAATCTCACACACACAGAGGGAGGGCATCTGACGCAATCACACACACACAGGGGGCAAATCTGTGTGTCATTTGTTCATTCGTTTTTTCAAAATAAAACCAAAAATAAGAAAATGAAAAAAACTGACGAAACCAGGACTAAACCAGGACCAGACTGGAACCAGACCAGGACTGAGTCTGGTAACAGGACCAGGACTGAGACCGGGATCAAGACCAGGACTGAAAACGGTTCAGTCCTGGTTTAGTCCAGTTTTAGTCCTGATTTAGTCCTTGGTTTAATCCTGGTTTAGTCCTGGTTTAGTCCAGTTTTAGACCTGGTTTAGTCCTGGTTTAGTCCAGTTTTAGACCTGGTTTAGTCCTGGTTTAGTCCTGGTTTAGTCCTGGTTTAGTGGTTTAGACCTGGTTTAGTCCTGGTTTAGACTGGTTTAGTGGTTTAGTCCTGGTTTAGTTTAGTCCTGGTTTAGTCCTGGTTTAGTCCTGGTTTAGTCCTGGTTTAGTCCTGGTTTAGTCCTGGTTAGTCCTGGTTTAGTCCTGGTTTAGTTTCCTGGTTTAGTCCTGGTTTAGTCCTGGTTCAGTCCTGGTTTAGTCTTGGTTTAGTCCTGGTTTAGACCTGGTTTAGTCCTGGTTTAGTCCTGGTTCAGTCCTGGTTTAGTCTTGGTTTAGTCCTGGTTTAGACCTGGCTTAGTCCTTGTTTAGTCCTGGTTTAGTCCTGGTTTAGACCTGGTTTAGTCCTTGTTTAGTCCTGGTTTAGTCCTGGTTTAGTCCATTATCTGTTTTTTACATTTTGGGTTTAGAGACAAATACTGAAGTAGTTGTTTTTTTGTGTTTTTTTATTTTTGGTTTAATTTTGAAAAATGAATAAACGAACGACACACAGACTCCTGTGTTTAGTTAAAAGTCGTGTTTGGTTTTTTTTTGTTCGGAATCTGACACACGGGGGGGGGGGGGGGGGGGCATCTGACACACACACACGGGGGGGGGACTGACCCATGTTCCCGTCCAGATAGTCCAGACTGGGTCTGAGCAGGACCAGAGCGTCTCGGATCAGTCGGGTCTCGGGACAGTCCATGATCCTCCAGCTCCGGTCCAGGTCCTGGATCACGGCCCGGACTCCACAGACCCGACTCTTACAGAACAACCACTCCGAGTTACCTGGCGACGCAGAGGAGGGAGTCAACAGGAGGAACAGCCACAGAACAGCCACAGAGGAGGGAGTCAACAGGAGGAACAGCCACAGAGGAGGGAGTCAACAGGCGGAACAGCCACAGAACAGCCGCAGAGGAGGGAGTCAACAGGTGGAACAGCCACAGAACAGCCACAGAGGAGGGAGTCAACAGGAGGAACAGCCACAGAGGAGGGAGTCAACAGGCGGAACAGCCACAGAACAGCCGCAGAGGAGGGAGTCAACAGGTGGAACAGCCACAGAGGAGGGAATGAACACACGGAACAGCCACAGAGGAGGGAGGGAACAGGCGGAACAGCCACAGAGGAGGGAGTCAACAAGCGGAACAGCCACAGAGGAGGGAGGGAACACACGGAACAGCCACAGAGGAGGGAGGGAACACGTGGAACAGCCACAGAGGAGGGAGGGATCACGTGGAACAGTCACAGAGGAGGGTGTGAATATACAGAACAGCCACAGACTAGTATTTGTGTTTCTTACCGATGACTTCCTGTTTAAGCTCCTCCCACATCCCGGCGTGCAGCAGGTGATAGGGCAGCTCCTGCAGTTTTCGGACGTTGGCCAATCCGGCGCCGAACCACAGCGGCTGAGGCGGGACCTGAGACACGAACAGCCAATCACAGTTCAGGGTTTAACGTCACAGGGTTTAACGTAGACGCCGTTTTCACAGAACACGTGCGAATCCAGACAAAAGAACAAACGACAGACGCGACTCGACCGTCAAAAATACAACATCACTTCACAGACACATACAAACTGAACCAGGACTAAACCAGGTCTAAACCAGGTCTAAATCAGGTCTAAATCAGGTCTACACCAGGACTAAACCAGGACTGAACCAGGACTGAGTGTCGGGTCCGGAGGTTTGCCCGTGTAGACCATCAGGCTCAGGGTTCTCCCTCTCTCAAGTTCAAGATTAGACCTGGGTCAGTCCTGGTTCAGTCCTGGTTTAGTCCTGGTTTAGTTCTGGTTTAGACCTGGTTTAGTCCTGGTTTAGACCTGGTTTAGTCCTGGTTTAGTCCTGGTTTAGTTCTGGTTTAGTCCTGGTTTAGTCCTAGTTTAGTCCTAGTTTAGACCTGGTTTAGTCCTAGTTTGGACCTGACAAATATGCCCAAATTTCTGTCCTACGCACAAATATTTCTGAAAGCTTCTTACTCTATGAAACTGGATCCAGATTTGCTGTATAATTGCTGCCGACCTCAGTGAGCCTCATTTGACTGAAAGTACCAGGGACAGTCTGTGGCGTTTTGTAAAAAGGTTCGTGTTTAACTGAAGCAGAAGCAGAAGGAGCGTGAGGGCGCCCCCTGCAGGAGCTCACCTTCCGGTCGGGCAGCACCAGGGACAGACCGGGCAGAGACACCGGTTTACGTTTCCCGCTCCACCTGCCGAGGAAAAACTCTGCCAGGATCTTCAGAGCGCGACCTTTACGATCAGAGGTGAGATACCGAGAAGAGACGACGTCCGAGAAACGCCTGGAACAACACGAAGAAAGAAACATCAGAGAAGAAGAAACAAGGAAAGAAAAGTAAATATTGAGGCGACTTTCAGACGTCAGACAAAAGAAACAGACAGAGATAACACCGCTAATACCACTGACATGCTAAGACCGCTAACTTGCTAACATGCTAACACCGCTAACATGCTAACACCGCTAACATGCTAACCCACTAATACCACTAATACCACTGACATGCTAAGACCGCTAACCGCTAACTCGCTAACATGCTAACACACCAACATGCTAGCACACTGACACCGCTAACCCGCTAATACAGCTAACACACTACCACGTTAACATGCTAAGACTGTTAATCCGCTAACATTCTAATCCGCTAACATGCTAATCCGCTAACATGTCAACCTGCTAACATGCTAATATGCTAAAACCGCTAATCCGCTAACATGATAATCTACTAACATGCTAACCCGCTAACATGCTAAGACCGCTGACCCGCTAAAGCTGTGTTCTATTTCATGTTGTAGTGTCTGAGTCAGTTTTCCCGACATCTGTTATGAAGTCGTTCCGTCGCAACAGTCGGGAAAAATATGGAGCCTGAGAAAGTTTAATGTCACGTCAGGTATCGCTAGAGTCTGTTAGCTAACGTTAGCTGTGGGCGACTCAGTTCAGTTTGACTTTTACATGTTCAGAAAAAAACTTTTGTTACTGTGAAATGACGTGAAAGAAAATCTAAACGTCGCTACAAAGTTTTTAGAGACATTTTCTCTGAGCAAACACAAACTGAACAAATCGCTAACACACTAACACGCTAACCCTGGTAACACGATAACATCACTAACATGCTAAAAACGCTAACCTGCTACCATGGTTTTCACACAGCTTCCCTCACCTGTTTTTGAAGACAATCGTAGCGACGCCATTGGTCCAGCGCTCGCTCAGGTGTTCGGCGAGGTCGTACTTTAGCCCCGCCCACAGGAGGGGGGGCAGGCGCACGAGGGCGGGGCTCGGGGGCAGGAAGTGGCGGTACGCCTCCTTCAGGACGTCATCATCCAGCGATAGAACGTCACGCAGCTCGCACTCCAGAAGCCCCTCCCTCCAGAGAAAAACAAACAGCATCACACCAAGTGACACACCGAGTAACACAGAGTGACACACCGAGTAACACCGAGTGACACACCGAGTAACACAGAGTGACACACCGAGTAACACAGAGTGACACACCGAGTAACACCAAGACACACCGAGTAACACAGAGTGACACACCGAGTAACACAGAGTGACACACCGAGTAACACACCGAGTGACACACCGATACACCGAGTGAACACACCAACCAAGTGACACACTGAGTGACACAGAGTGATACACGAGTAACACCGAGTGACACACGAGTACACGAGTGAACACCGAGTAACACACGAGTGACACACCGAGTGACACACCGAGTATCACACCGAGTGACACACCGAGTAACACACCGAGTGACACACCGAGTAACACAGAGTGACACACCGAGTAACACAGAGTGACACACACGAGTAACACCAAGTGACACACCGAGTAACACAGAGTGACACACCGAGTAACACACCGAGTGACACACCGAGTAACACAGAGTGACACCCGAGTGACACACCGAGTAACACCGAGTGATACACCGAGTAACACACCAAGTGACACACTGAGTGACACAGAGTGATACACCGAGTAACACCGAGTGACACACCGAGTAACACCGAGTGATACACCGAGTAACACACCGAGTGACACACCGAGTGACACACCGAGTAACACACCGAGTGACACACCGAGTGACACAGTGACACACCGAGTAACACACGAGTGACACACGAGTGACACACCGAGTGACACACCGAGTGACACACGAGTAACACCGAGTGACACACCGAGTGAACACCGAGTGACACACCGAGTGAGTGACACACAAGTGACACACCGAGTACACACCGAGTGACACACCGAGTGACACACCGAGTGACACACCGAGTGACACACTGAGTGACACACCGAGTAACACACTGAGTAACACACAGAGTAACACACCAAGTGACACACCGAGTAACACACCGAGTGACACACGAGTGACACCACACTAGTGACACACTGAGTGACACACCGAGTGACACACCGAGTGACACACCGGTGACACCACGATAACACACCGAGTGACACCAAGTGACACACGAGTGACACACCGAGTGACACACCGAAGTGACACACCGAGTAAAACACCGAGTGACACACCGAGTAACACACCGAGTGAGTGACACACCGAGTGAACACCGAGTGACACACTGAGTGACACACCGAGTAACACCGAGTGACACACTGAGTAACACACAGAGTAACACACCAAGTGACACACCGAGTAACACACCACGAGTGACACCAAGTGACACACCGAGTGACACACCGAGTGGTGCACACCGAGTACACAGTGACACACACACACAGTGGACACACCGAGTGACACACACACACAGTGACACACCGAGTGACACACCGAGTGGCACCGAGTAACACGAAGTGACACACAGAGTAACACCGAGTGACACACTAAGTAACACCGAGTGACACCGAGTGATACACCGAGTGATACACCGAGTGACACACCGAGTGACACACCGAGTGCACACAGAGTAACACCAAGTGACACACCGAGTGGCACACAGAGTAACACCGAGTGGCACACAGAGTAACACCAAGTGACACACCAAGTGATACACCGAGTAACACCGAGTGACACACCGAGTAACACCGAGTGATACACCGAGTAACACACCGAGTGACACACCGAGTGACACACCGAGTAACACACCGAGTGACACACCGAGTAACACACCGAGTGACACACACACCGAGTGACACACCGAGTAACACCGAGTGACACACCGAGTGACACCGAGTGACACACCGAATAACACCGAGTGACACACCGAGTGACACCAAGTGACACACCGAGTAACACCGAGTGAAACACCGAGTGACACACCGACACACCGAGTAACACCGACACACTGAGTAACACACAGAGTAACACACCAAGTGACACACCGAGTAACACACCGAGTGACACCAAGTGACACACCTAGTGACACACTGAGTGACACACCGAGTAACACCGAGTTACACCAAGTGACACACCGAGTGACACACCGAGTGACACACCGAGTAACACCCCGAATAACACCGAGTGACACACCGAGTGACACCAAGTGACACACCGAGTAAACACCGAGTGACACACCGAGTGACACACCGAGTGACACACCGAGTGACACACCGAGTAACACCGAGTGACACACCGAGTAACACACAGAGTAACACACCAAGTGACACACCGAGTAACACACCGAGTGACACCAAGTGACACACCTAGTGACACACTGAGTGACACACCGAGTAACACCGAGCTACACCAAGTGACACACCGAGTGACACACCGAGAGTGACACCAAGTGACACACTGAGTGACACACCGAGTGACACACCGAGTGGCACACAGAGTAACACCAAGTGACACACCGAGTGGCACACAGAGTAACACCAAGTGACACACCGAGTAACACCGAGTGACACACCGAGTGGCACGCAGAGTAACACCAAGTGACACACAGAGTAACACCGAGTGACACACTAAGTAACACCGAGTGACACATCGAGTGACACACCGAGTAACACCGAGTGACACACCGAGTGACACCGAGTGATACACCGAGTGACACACCGAGTGACACACCGAGTGGCACACAGAGTAACACCGAGTGGCACACAGAGTAACACCAAGTGACACACCAGTGACACACCGAGTGACACACCGAAGTGACACACCGAGTGACACACCGAGTGACACACTGAGTAACACCGAGTGACACAAGGAGTGGCACACAGAGTGGCACACAGAGTAACACCAAGTGACACACCGAGTAACACCGAGTGACACACCGAGTGGCACACAGAGTAACACACTGAGTGACACACCGAGTGACACACCGAGTGACACCTGAGTAACACCGAGTGACACAAGGAGTGGCACACAGAGTGGCACACAGAGTAACACCAAGTGACACACCACGTGACACACTGAGTAACACCACGTGACACACCGAGTGACACACCGAGTAACACACCGAGTGGCACACCGAGTGGCACACAGAGTAACACCAAGTGACACACCAAGTAACACCAAGTGACACACCGAGTGGCACAGAGAGTAACACCAAGTGACACACCGAGTAACACCAAGTGACACACACACACAGTGGCACAACACAGGCACACAGAGTAACACCAAGTGACACCCAGTAACACCAGTAACACACCGAGTGGCACACCGAGTGGCACACAGTAACACCAAGTGACACCGTAACACCAAGTGACACACCAAGTGACACACACCAAGTGGCACACACCAAGTACACACAGTAACACCAAGTGGCACACAGAGTAACACCAAGACACAGGTCACAAAGTGGCACCGTAGTACACCGAGTGACACACCGAGTAACACCGAGTGACACACCGAGTAACACCAAGTGACACACCACGAGTGACACCAAGTGACACACCACGTGACACACTGAGTAACACCACGTGACACACCGAGTAACACCAAGTGACACACCACGTGACACACCGAGTAACACCAAGTGACACACCACGTGACACACTGAGTAACACCACGTGACACACCGAGTAACACCAAGTGACACGTCGCATTCCAGACGATTCAGCACAAGTGTGTTTAAATGTCCTGAAGGTCAATGTTAAGTTTTCAGGGTTGGACGGTTTTGTGTCTCAGGCTCTTTGGCTGGGTGAGTTTCCAGTCGAGTCCAATTAAAAGAAAAAAGACTGAAGGATGTTCCACATTATTAAACAGAATGACATTTTTAAGCAACATGGGAAAGAAAAAGGATCTGAAGAGCTGAAAAACCTGACGTAGTTGAACACCTTGGACCTTAGATATTTCAGGAAAACTGAAGCATGATCATCGAACTGTTAAGGCAAGGCAAGTTTATTTGTACAGCACAATTCGTACACAAAGTAATTCAAAGTGTTTTACAGAATAAGAAAAACATTATAATCACAATAAAAATAAATCAAAATATAAATAATCATAAAGATTAAAATAAAAAAGAGAGACATAAATTAGAGAGAAGAGTGCAAAATGAAAACCTTTCAGTCGTATGCACAGTCAAACAGAAATGTTTAGAGTCTGACTTTAAACAGCGTCAAAGTCGAGTCTGTGTCACATGCTCAGACTGTTCCTGGTTTTAGCTGCGTGAACCTGAAACCTGAAATTTGTCGCTGATTCAGACGCACACAGATCTGTGCAAACAAAGGCACAATGAGGAAGGTCACAGATGAAGTCTGAGACTGATGCCCCCGCGACCCAACCCCGGATAAGAGGAAGAAAATGGAATGAGGAAGGTTTGTGTCAGACAAACACGTCGGGTTCAGAGCGGCTGCTGAAATGACACAAAGCAGCAAACAGGATTCTAAAGCTGCTGGAGCCTCTGGAGAGAACATCACGGTGCAGGATCCTCCAGAGGGTTGGGGTTCTGCAGAAACCTTCTTCTGGGTCTTAAACAAAACTCACAACAGAAACAGCTCCAGGGACCAGAAACACATGAAGAGTCATTTTCAAACAGTCGTGTTCACTAATGATGCAGTGAAGACCTGGATGGTCCAGATCAAACTCTGAAACTCTGTTGTGCAGAATCATCTGGAACACTGGAGCATTTAAAGTTTTTATTTGCATCATGATTTGGAACCCAGCCTAAACCAGGACTAAACCAAAACTAAACCAGGATTGAAATAAGGACTAAACCAGGGCTGGACCAGAAGTAACCAAGGCCAAAAACAATTCTAAATCAGGACTAACTGAGAACTAAAAAAGAACTAAACCAGGTCTAAACCCAGTCTAAACCAGGTCTAAACCAGGTCTAAACCAGGTGTAAATCCGGGGTCGTACCTGGCGAGGGCGATGTACCCAAGCGCGGCGGCCGTCAGCTCTCGTCCGTGTCGTTCCTCCATCGTCTGCAGCAGCAGTGACGTCATTTCCTGTGCGGTGGCGGCCAATCGCAGCTCGGCCAGCGCCGTGAACGAGCGCCAGCGTTTCCCGAGCGACAGCATGAGGTGCAGGTGCAGTGGATTCCCCGACGCCGCGGAACTCTTCAGCACAAACTCCTTCTGCTCCGGCGTCAGCGTGCGCCCCGCCGCCCTCAGGTACGCCTCGGCCATCGCCTCGCCGTCGCCCGCCCCCAGACGCTCCACCTCGAAGAAGTTCTCCAGCGTCTGCGCCCGCAGACGCATCCTCGCGAACGCCTCCGATTTGGTCTCCACGGAAACCACCAGGTGCACGTTGGGCGGGAGTTCGTACGGCAGCCACCTGAGTTTGGCGCTCCTGTCGGCGAGCTGGTCGACGTCGTCCAGGATCAGCAGCAGGTGGTTTCCTTGCTGCGACGCCTGCTCCAGGACGTTGTGGAAAAACCGAACGAGATGCGTGTCGGCGGTGAGCGAGGTGGGCGGGGCCAAGCCGAACGCCAGGCAGATCTGGCGGCAGACGCTCCTGAGCATGTCCTCGACGCCGTAGCGCCACGGGTGGAGCAGCGTCAGCAGCCTCACCACGACGGCGGCGCGGTTCTCCAGCACGCCCCTCATCTCCCGCGCCAACTGGCACAGCAGCAGCGTCCGGCCTGAGCCCTCGCCGCCGTGCACCACCAGCGGCGGGTGGCGAACCTTCGTCATCTCCCACATGGTCAAGCAGATCTTCCCCAGCAGACCCTCCGGCCGCCGACCCTCCTCGCACATCTCCATGGCGGCGCTGACGTGGCGGCGGACCTCCTCGGCGAGCGGCTCCGTCACGTCCGCCTTCGCGTCTTCTTCGCGGACGCTCCCCCAGATTTGGCGTTTCGGTCGTTTCTCGTCCAAAGCGGCGCCGACCCGACTCTTGATCTGCGACACGAACTGCTCGCACAGACTCTCCAGGTACTGCGCGTGCTCCTTGCGTTTGGGGTCGACGGCGCCGCCCTTCGACAGCTCGACGCAGTGCAGGTTCAGGATCTTCTGGCGTCCGGAGTAGAGACGAGCTTTGAGCGCGGCGAGGAGCGTCTGCGCCTCGGCGTCCAGGATCCCGTCCGCCGTCAGGTCCATGAACTTGGCGAAGCGTCTGGGGCCCTCACGGACTTTCTGATGAGGAATCTCCCGCACGAAGATCAACGACGACGACGAAGAAGAAGACGAAGAGTCAGCGTCGTCCAAACACAAACCCAACTCCAACTCTCGCTCTGTGTCTGCGGAGAAAAAACAGAACTAAACCAGGACTAAACCAGGACTGAACCAGGACTGAACCAGGTCTAAACCAGGACTAACCAGGACTAAACAGAACCAGGACTAACCAGAAACCAGAACTAAAACTAAACCCAGACTAAAACAGAACTAAACCAGGACTAAACCAGGACTAAACCAGGACTAAACCAGGACTAAACCAGAACTAAACCAGGACTAAACCAGGTCTAAACCAGGTCTAAACCAGGACTAAACCAGAACTAAACCAGGACTAAAACAGAACGAAACCAGGACTGAACCAGGACTGATCCAGGACTAAACCAGGTCTCGTGTCCCCGTGTCTGACCTGAGGTGTAGTAGCGCTGCCGGTCCTGTGGGGGGAGCTCTCCGTTGTTGTGGGCGGACGTGGCCGTGTTCCGGAGCAGCGTCAGGAGTTGGGTTTCGGTGGATTTCCATCGGGCGACGTCGGCTTCTCGTTTGGTGGCGTTTTCGGGAGAGAAGTCGCCGTAGTGCGGGAGGTGAGCCGTGATTGGCTGCAGGACGTAGGTGGGCGGGACGGCGTTGGCGTCCCTCAGGTACCACTGAGCGAGGAGTTTGAGGCCGTCCGTGTTTTTGGAAAGTTTGGACGAAAACACGTCGAAGTGTTTTTCCGAGATGAAGCGAGGAAGAGAACGATGTCCGTAACGGTTTCCCAGAAGAGCCTGAAGAGACGAACAACCGGGAATCACACTGGGAATAACACTGGGAATAACACTGGGAATCACACTGGGAATCACACTGGGAATCACACTGGGAATAACACTGGGAATAACACTGGGAATAACACTGGGAATCACACTGGGAATGACACTGGGAATCACACTGGGAGGAAAACTGGGAATCACACTGGGAGGAAAACTGGGAATCACAATGGGAATAACACTGGGAATAACACTGGGAATCACACTGGGCGGAAAACCGGGAATCACACTGGGAATCACACTGGGAATGGGAATCACACTGGGAATCACACTGGGAATCACATTGGGAGGAAAACTGGGAATGACACTGGGAATAACACTGGGAATCACATTGGGAGGAAAACTGGGAATGACACTGGGAACACTGGGAATGACACTGGGAATAACACTGGGAATGACACTGGGGATGACACTGGGAATCACACTGGGAGGAAAACTGGGAATCACAATGGGAATCTCACTGGGCAGAAAACTGGGAATCATACTGGAAATTACACAGTGAGGGAAACTGGGAATCACACTGGGAATGTTTCTTTTTAGCTTGGAATGATTCTTTAAAAACACGGAGCAGCATCGTCTCGATAAACTCCTGCGACTGAAATGAGAAAATGAAACTCACGACAAAAGCCGGGACCGTGGAGATGCGTTTGGACGTTTGGATCTCGTGGAGGAAAAGTTCACAGGCGTCGTGTTCTACAGAAGGAGAACTCCTCAGACCCCAGCGCAGATCCACCACCTGCAGCAAACACAGCGCCACACGCTGGTCACAACCGGAAATAAAAGGAAAAAAAATAAAACTGTCCAAAACTCCAGGACTGAAACAAGAACAAACAAGGACTAAAAGAATAAACCAGGACTAAACCAGGTCTAAACCAGGACTAAACCAGGTCTAAACCAGGACTAAACCAGGACTAAACCAGGTCTAAACCAGGACGGTGAGCTCTGACCTCGAAGACGAGCCCGAGTCCGCGGCAGAAGGTCAGGACTTCAGGATAGGCCTTCTCCAGCAGAGCTTTCCTCTCACTGCTCATGTCTGCACAAAAACAACTCAGAGTCTGGACAGAAGCACAGAGACCAAAGACCAAAGACCAAAGAGGAGGAAACTTCTGCTCCTCAGATGTTTCTCCTGCTCGTCTTTGGGATCAGCTCCACAAACTCAACATAAATCTTCTTGTATAAAAACCTTCCAGCAGAAACTCTCACGTCTTTGGGGCTGAAGAACAACTCCACTTTATGAAGCGACGGTGAAAACATAAACCAGGACTAAACCAGGACTAAACCAGGACTAAACCAGGACTAAACCAGGACTAAACCAGGACTAAACCAGGACTAAACCAGAACTAAACCAGGACTAAACCAGGACTAAAACCAGGACTAAACCAGGACTAAACCAGACTAAAACCAGGACTAAACCAGGACTAAACCAGAACTAAACCAGGACTAAACCAGGACTAAACCATAAACCAGGACTAAACCAGAACTAAACCAGGACTAAACCAGGACTAAACCAGGACTAAACCAGAACTAAACCAGGACTAAACCAGGACTAAACCAGGACTAAACCAGGAACTAAACCAGGACTAGGACTAAACCAGGTCTAAACCAGGACTGAACCAGGTCTAAACCAGGACTAAACCAGGTCTAAACCAGGACTAAACCAGGACTAAACCAGGACTAAACCAGGACTAAACCAGGTCTAAACCAGGACTAAACCAGGACTGAACCAGGACTATAAGGATTTTATTTTTTATAATATTTCTTGTTTATTTGAGAATATTTTATTGAACTTATTAGTTTTACCAGCAGCACTTTGACTTTATTTTATTTTCCTGTTTGTAAAATGTTTATAAAATCATTGGTTTATTAAAAACACAAATGATTTTCCATTTTGTTCCCAAACTGAAGTGAAAATGAACTGAACTGTGAGTTTTGAAGCGTCACAGCCTCAGTGGTTTTGTGTAAATGTGCAGGGACAAAACAGGGACAGGGTCTGGTCTCCTCACACGTGGACAGTCCTGGACCAGAACCTCATTCATCTCACACAGACGTTCTTAGTTTTTATGTTTTACAGATTCGTATCATTCGTTTGTTTGAACGTTTAAATTAAATCAAGTATTGTCATATTTTTGATGAAGTTCAGTCTCACCTGTGAACGTGGAGCTGATGAAAACTCGGAGCATGTTGGAGGTGCAGGACGGACCGAGGAGCAACTTTCCCCGCAGGAGCTCCTGGAGACTCCCTGCTGCTCCTGCTGCACCTGCTGCTGCTGCTGCTGCACCTGCTGCACTGCTGCTGCTCCTCCTGATGCTCCTCCAGGTGCTCCTCCTTCAGGTGCTCCTCCTCCTGCTGCTCCTCCTTCAGGTGCTCCTCCTTCAGGTGCTCCTCCTCCTGCTGCTCCTCCTGCTGCATGTGCTGTTCCACCAGGTGCTCCTCCAGTTGCTCTCCCCAGTGTTCCTCCTCCTGCTTCTGCTCCTCCTCCTGTTCCTGCTCCTTCCTTTGGTGCTCCTCCTCCTCCTGCTCCTGCTGCTGCTCCTCCTTCTGACATTTTTACACTAATAAAATCAAGCTTATCCTGCTTCAAAAATCAAGTTACACCTCAAATTTCACCTCCTGCTCCAGAAAATAAGGAACATTTTAACATTTTAAAATTTTAACTATAACTTAAACTTTTAACGCAGCTAAATGATCAAACTGTTTTCTTTTCTTTTCTAAGCGAACAGATTTGGGCTTGAAAAAAAGTTCAAAAAGCCAAAAACAATTATACAGTCAAATGTTTCTGTCCAAAAATGCACAGATTATTCTTGTTATTTTGTCTTACAGTTTCAGAAAGTCCAGCTCCAAAACGTTTGTTCTTCTCAGGTGTAAACTCGGCTCTGCTCCATCAGGAGGAAGAAACTCGGAAAACTCCAGGTGGAAAACAGGAAAAAAAACATCTTAAAGGTCAGATTGTGTCGGGTTGTGTCGGGTTGTGTGGGTTTGTGCGTCTGCTTTGTCTCGGTCCGTCTCCGTGTGTGTTCTGAGGCGAGTCGTGCGCGTCTCTGGAGGTTGTTTTCAGGTTGGGTTCCTCGGGTGGTTCCTCCGGTCGCTGGGATCTTCGGGGATCGTCTCCGGAGCGACCGTGCTCCCTCAGCTCCGCTCCGTTTCTCCAAAGCTGCTCATTAACTCTTCTGTCACTGTGACCGACTCCGCGCACGAGTCCCGAGCTCCACGGCAGATTCACCCGAGGCCGTTCACCTGCTCGTTTCCATGGAGACGTCACCGGAATGTCCCGCAGTGTGACTTTAAACCGCTCCACTTGACGTTTATTCGATCACAGGTGGATTTACGGCTCAAAAATCCCTAGAAAAACATTAGACACTGTTGTGAGTGCGAGCGGCGTCGCCTCTCCACAGATCTGCCCTGGAGCTGCAGCTGGTTTGGTTTCCGTGGAGACAGAAAGGTTTAAAGCCACACTGCGGAACATTCCAGACGAAGCAAGAACAGTAACATGTTCACGGAGAAAAGCGCTTGAGGGAACAGCGCAGGTTTAACGCAAACACTTTTTTTGAATTGTGGGTTTTTTTGTGAATTTTTCGTTTATTTTTGCCATTTTTAATCATAAAAACAGAAATAAATGTGGAAATAAAATAAAACTGATTCTGAAAAAGAAAACGGCAAAAGGAGTTTTGAACCAGGACTAAACCAAAACTAAACCAGGTCTAAACCAGGACTGAACCAGGTCTAAACCAGGACTAAACCAGATCTAAACCAGGACTGAACCAGGACTAAACCAGGACTGAACCAGGTCTAAACCAGGTCTAAACCAGGACTAAACCAGATCTAAACCAGGACTGAACCAGGTCTAAACCAGGACTAAACCAGGACTGAACCAGGTCTAAACCAGGTCTAAACCAGGTCTAAACCAGGTCTAAACCAGGACTAAACCAGGACTAAACTGTCCTGTTTGTTCGCGGTGAGGCTCAGGTGAGTTTGAGTCATCGTCTCTGAAGAATCAAGACGAGAACAAAACAGCTGCAGGCGAAGAGAGAAAACAAGAAGAAAAATCACTGAGGACAAAGAACGAGAGAAGAGAGAAGAAGAGGAGGAAGAGGAGGAAGAGGAGAAGTGAGTCTGTGGTGAATCAAAAATGAAGCCGAGACAAAAAAAATTCACCTCAAATTGTTTTTAATTTTTCAGTAAAACCCAAACTCTACAGAACTAGAAAAAGTGAGTCCAGAGGAAAACAGGTCGGGTGGTGTTTGGGTGGTGTCAGGTGGTGTCGGGTGCTCCGTCGGGTGCTCCGTCGGGTGCTCCGTCGGGTGCTCCGTCGGGTGCTCCGTCAGCAGGGCGTGGGCGTGTTCTCGGGGACAGTTAGACCTTTGCTCAGGAGGAAGGCCTCTTGTTTGGGTTCTCTCCCGAGGAACTTCCTCAACATCTCCGACGCTTCCTGAGATCCTCCAGGCCCCAGGATGAACTGACGGTAATCCAGACCCACCTGACAGGTGAGACAGGTGAGACAGGTGAGACAGGTGAGACAGGTGAGACAGGGGAGACAGGTGAGAGACAGGTGAGAGACAGGTGAGAGACAGGTGAGAGACAGGGGAGAGACAGGTGAGAGACAGAGGAGAGACAGGGGAGAGACAGGTGAGAGACAGAGGAGAGACAGGAGAGACAGGTGAGAGACAGGTGAGAGACAGGTGAGAGACAGGAGAGAGAGGAGAGACAGGTGAGAGACAGGTGAGAGACAGAGGAGAGACAGGGGAGAGACAGGTGAGAGACAGAGAGAGACAGAGAGAGAGACAGGAGAGAGGTGAGACAGGTGAGAGACAGAGGAGAGACAGGGAGAGAGACAGGTGAGAGACAGGGAGAGAGACAGAGAGAGAGACAGGGGAGAGACAGGTGAGACAGGTGAGACAGAGAGACAGGTGAGAGACAGGTGAGACAGGTGAGAGACAGGGAGAGACAGGTGAGAGACAGGTGAGAGAGGAGACAGGTGAGAGACAGGGGAGAGACAGGAGAGAGCGACAGGTGAGAGACAGGTGAGAGACAGGGGAGAGAGACAGGGAGAGCGACAGGGGAGAGACAGGGGAGAGACAGGGAGAGACAGGGGAGAGACAGGAGAGAGGAGGACAGGTGAGAGACAGAGTGAGAGACAGGGGGAGAGACAGGTGAGAGACAGGTGAGAGACAGGGAGAGACAGACAGGTGAGAGAGACAGGGAGAGACAGGGGAGACAGGGGAGAGACAGAGGAGAGAGGACAGGAGAGACAGGAGAGAGAGACAGGTGAGAGACAGGTGAGAGACAGGTGAGAGACAGAGGAGAGACAGGTGAGACAGGTGAGACAGGTGAGAGACAGGTGAGACAGGTGAGAGACAGGAGAGAGACAGAGGAGAGACAGAGGAGAGACAGGGGAGAGACAGGTGAGAGACAGGAGAGAGACAGGTGAGAGACAGGGGAGAGACAGGTGAGACAGGTGAGAGACAGAGGAGAGACAGGTGAGAGACAGGTGAGAGACAGGTGAGAGACAGCAGAGAGACAGGTGAGAGACAGGGGAGAGACAGGTGAGACAGGTGAGAGACAGGAGAACAGAGGAGAGACAGGGAGAGACAGGTGAGAGACAGAGGAAGACAGAGAGAGACAGGAGACAGGAGAGACAGAGACAGGTGAGAGACAGGTGAGAGACAGGTGAGAGACAGGGAGAGAGACAGGGGAGAGAGACAGGAGAGAGAGGAGAGAGACAGGGGAGAGACAGGGGAGAGACAGGAGAGAGACAGGAGAGAGACAGGACAGGAGAGAGACAGGTGGAGAGCAGACAGGAGAGAGACAGGAGAGAGACAGGTGAGAGACAGGTGAGAGACAGGTGAGAGACAGGAGAACAGAGAGACAGGGGAGAGCGACAGGAGAGAGACAGGAGAGAGCGACAGGAGAGAGACAGGGGAGAGCGACAGGAGAGAGACAGGTGAGAGACAGGGGAGAGACAGGAGAGAGCGACAGGGGAGAGACAGGGGAGAGACAGGGGAGAGACAGGGGAGAGACAGGGGAGAGCGACAGGAGAGAGCGACAGGAGAGAGACAGGTGAGAGACAGGGGAGAGACAGGGGAGAGACAGGTGAGAGACAGGGAGAGACAGGGGAGACAGGGGAGAGACAGGGGAGAGACAGGAGAGAGAGACAGGAGAGAGCAGGACAGGTGAGAGACAGGGGAGAGCGACAGGAGAGAGACAGGTGAGAGACAGGGGAGAGACAGGGGAGAGACAGGGGAGACAGGAGAGAGACAGGGGAGAGACAGGGAGAGACAGGGGAGAGACAGGGGAGAGACAGTTTACCAGGTCTGGTCCCGGTCTGGTCCCAGACCTGGTTCAGTCCTGGTTCAGTCTGTATGTGGTGCAAAAGTCCGACATCACAGTCACTTAAGTCAAGGAAACAGGAAACGGTTGTTCTCCATTTTTTTCATTTTTCATTTAAACACAAAATTGAAAACTAAAAAAACAAATCATTATCTGTTTTTTCATTTTGGTTTTGGAGACAAATAATGAAGAAAACTGTAGTTTTTTCATTTTCTTATTTTAGGTTTTATTTTGAAAAAGTAATGAACAAATGATACACGGATGTTTCTTCTTCCTGTTTCCTCAGTTTTATTGTTGTTATTTCTGTTATGATCCAACTAATGTCATAAGAACTAATCTGTTCTACTGTAAAACTAACTAATAGTGTCTATATATATATATATATATATATATATATATATATATATATGTGTATATATGTGTGAGTGTTTTACCTTGGGGTTCATGATTCCTTCTTGTTTGAATCGTGCGTAGAACATGTCCATAGAAAACACTTCACTCCACAAATACCCGTAATACTGAGCGTCATATCCACCGGCCAGGTGCCCGAAGGTCGCCGGCATGTTAGTGCCTGAAACACACACACACACACATACACACACACAGACACATACACACACACACACACATCATACACACACACAGACACATACACACACACATACACACACACAGACAAAAACACACACTTTATTTACAGCAGACTCTCCCGTCGCCTTTAGAGCAGAGGTTTATGCACCACGACAAAATAAAATCATACAACCAACACAAAAACGGAGGTATTTTGTAAATGCAATAATAAACATTTAAAAAGACGTCTGTTTTTACTCATTTTGCAGTTTGTAGGTTTAATATTCGTGTTAATGTGTCATGTTACTGAGACAAACGTCCTGACATGAGTCAAGAGCACAGTCAGGGAAGTTACTTTAAAAAAGTAATGTTCTTTCCTTTACTTCTGTAAAAAGTAATCCCTTACTTTACTTAGTTACCCTCTGTGGAAAGTCACTTTTTACATTACTCGTTACTTTGGTACTTTTTGGTGGTAAACTTCATGTGAGGCTGAATACGGCACAAGACCCTGAGGGAATGAAGAAAAGAAGTTTGAGTTGAAGAGGAAGTGAAACTGTTCAGAGTCACAGGTGTGGTCAGTCGGCCCGGGGGATTCAACTCTGCAGGTGAAAGACGACCGCTCTGCAGGAGGGTCCCTGAACCCGGTCCCTGAACCCGGTCCCTGAACCCGGTCCCTGAACCCAGTCCCTGAACCCGGTCCCTGAACCCGGACCCTGAACCCGGACCCTGAACCCGGTCCCTGAACCCGGACCCTGAACCCGGACCCTGAACCCGGTCCCTGAACCCGGTCCCTGAACCCGGACCCTGAACCCGGACCCTGAACCTGGTCGCTGAACCCGGTCCCTGAACCCAGACCTTAAACCCGGTCCCTGAACCCAGTCCCTGAACCCGGTCCCTGAACCCGGACCCTGAACCTGGACCCTGAACCCGGTCCCTGAACCCGGTCCCTGAACCCGGTCCCTGAACCCAGACCTTAAACCCGGTCCCTGAACCCGGTCCCTGAACCCGGTCCCTGAACCCGGTCCCTGAACCCAGACCTTAAACCCGGTCCCTGAACCCGGACCTTGAACCCGGTCCCTGAACCCGGACCCTGAACCCAGACCTTAAACCCGGACGTGAACTTTAAACCTCGTTGTTGATCTGATGATAAAGACTTTACAACATGAGAGTTGCTCTGATGTGAAGAGCACCTGCCAGCACCTGCCACCAGCACCTGCCAGCACCTGCCACCATCACCTGCCCACACTGGAATAGTAAAACAATAGAACCCTGACAGGGGAGCACGTGACGTGTTGTGTTGTTGTTGTGTTGTTGTTGTGTTGTTGTTGTGTTGTTGTGTTGTTGTGTGTTGTGTGTGTGTTGTTGTTGTTGTGTGTGTTGTTGTGTGTTGTGTTGTGTTGTTGTTGTGTGTGTTGTGTGTTGTGTGTGTTGTGTGTGTGTTGTGTGTGTTGTGTGTGTGTTGTTGTTGTGTGTTGTTGTTGTTGTGTTGTTGTGTTGTGTGTGTTGTGTTGTGTGTTTGTTGTTGTGTGTTGTGTGTGTTGTGTGTGTTGTGTGTGTGTTGTTGTTGTGTGTTGTGTGTTGTGTGTTGTGTTGTGTGTGTTGTGTGTTGTGTGTTGTTGTGTGTGTGTGTGTGTGTGTGTTGTGTGTGTGTTGTGTGTTGTGTGTGTGTGTGTGTGTGTGTGTGTGTGTGTTGTTGTGTGTGTGTGTGTGTGTTGTTGTGTGTGTGTGTGTGTGTGTTGTGTGTGTGTGTGTGTGTTGTTGTTGTGTTGTTGTGTGTGTTGTGTTGTGTTGTGTGTGTGTGTTGTTGTGTGTGTTGTTGTGTGTTGTGTGTGTGTTGTTGTGTGTGTGTGTTGTGTGTTGTGTGTGTGTGTGTGTGTGTTGTGTTGTGTGTGTGTGTGTGTGTTGTGTGTGTGTGTGTTGTGTTGTGTGTGTTGTGTGTGTTGTGTGTTGTTGTGTGTGTTGTTGTGTGTTGTGTGTGTTGTGTTGTGTGTGTGTGTGTGTTGTTGTTGTGTGTGTTGTTGTGTGTTGTGTGTGTGTGTGTGTTGTTGTGTGTGTGTGTTGTTGTGTGTGTGTGTGTTGTGTGT